TACTGGTACGTAGATGCTTCATTGTTGACAGCATAAATGTATAGGTGCTTCAACCAGGTACACCGCCTCCCTAGCTGCTTCAACTTAGTCTCGTTTGTTATTATTTATATCTATTCAGTCCCAAAATAACCGACAAAGGTTACGTTTGATTTATATTTCCTTCGAAAGACAAATCGGGCCTGATTTCTAGACTGTGAACTCGTTCTAGCTTTCAATTAAACGCAACAAATCAGAACTGGAAAAATGACGGCGGCATGGGCAGATCTAGAGTCGGACTTCGGGTAGCTGGACGGATCGCCGAGCTGGACCCATCAACAAGCAGCTGCGAGGAGAACCGCAGATTATTTCTCCTTGTCAGTGGGATCTGACTAGACATTGACAATAACTGCCTTGACTTGACAAAACTGATATTACATGTATCTACCTTGAATTGACATGATCTGCATCGACTTGACAAAGATAATAATCTACCCGGAGTTGACAAGGATACTATTATCTGACCTGACTTGAACAAGATAATATAATCCCCCGACTTGACGAGGATAAAATTATCTACCCGGACTTGACAAGGATAATATTATCTGACCTGACCTGACAAAGATAAAATTATCTACCCGGACTTGACGAGGATAATATTATCTGACCTGACTTGACAAGTTAATATTATCTGACCTGACTTGACAAAGATAAAATTATCTGACCTGACTTGACAAGGATAATATTATCTGACCTGACTTGACAAAGATAAAATTATCTGACCTGACTTGACAAGTTAATATATCTGACCTGACTTGACAAAGATAAAATTATCTGACCTGACTTGACAAGTTAATATTATCTGACCTGACATTATATACACACACATATATATATATATATATATATATATATATATATATATATATATAAAAGTCTCTCACTCGGACAGGTATCTTTGTCTTCACAATTGTAATACCTGGAAATGCAACACAATAATATAGTCACTCAATGGAACGCAATATATCACATTGATATTATATATATATATATATATCAATGTGATATATATATCTATCAATGTGATATATTGCGTTCCATTGAGTGACTATATTGTGTTGCATTTCCAGGTATTACAATTGTGAAGACAAAGATACCTGTCCGAGTGAGAGACTTTTTTAATTAAAAAAAAGAAAAAATATTAGCTGAAATTATATAAACGTAAGCTTTGACAAATTGAAAAAGGGTAGTGAATTTCATTCTGACCTTTAAAAAAATGAAAATAATACTTAAAAGACGTGAATTGGATTTCCCACTTTTTGCTAAATATTGAACAATGATTTGTTCATTTTGAAAAGATATACTGTTTTAAGTTCTCTCTTGAACAACTACTAACGGACAGCATCTTCTTAATCTTCATTGTGATGTAGCAATTGAGGAAGAGCAGATCCTGGAATTAATTGTGATGCAACAGAAGTTTAAAGCAACAGTTATTGTCGATGATGACACAAACCTTCTCATCGTGCTGATCTTCTACGCTGATCTGAATTCAAAGGACTTCTTTTTTTTTGCACCTGTGCCCAATTAAGGCAACTCCAAAAAGAACCGAACATGGAATATCAAACAGCTGAAGGAAACTCTAGGAAGTAGTGTGTGTGACTACTTTCCCTGTGTCGTGTGCTTCTGGACTGCGACACAACGTCTCGCATATTTGGACTAGAGAAAGGCGTAGCACTGAAGAAAATCATGAAGAATGACAACTTCTGTGAGCTTGCCATGGTATTTAGTCAGCCGGCATCATACTGAAGGAGGCCATTATTCCAACTGGAGAGAAGGCACTTGTATGCCTGTATGGTGGTGACTCAATAGAAGATTGCGTAAGCAAAGACTTTCCAACCAACTTCAGCAGCAGGAAAGTTCCACAGTCTGCGTGTGTACTATCAGATATTAGAATGGAAAGGAATGGCAGACAGCCTGACATCGGGAAACTGAGTTGGCAGGTCATGGATGGGAAGTATCTTCCAATAAAAACTGATAAAACACCAGCTTCCGCATAACACCTTAAGATCATCAGATGTGGATGCAAGAAAGATTGTGCAGCCAAGAAATGCACGTGCTGGAAGTATGGCTTCCAATGTCCACCAGCCTGCACTGATTGTCAAGGCACTAGTTGTAGCAACTCACCACCATTATAGGCCTACCTAGAACTTGATGATACTACTGATCAGCATGCCACAAAAATGTTTGTTTGTTGAAGACTACAAACTCTAATCAAATTAGAATATGTATACCTTACTGTAGGCCTCATGACCTGCATCCTGTAATAACAATTGTACTGGGATTGTAAACTAACATAGACATAGCTGCTCTGAAATGCATTGTAAGGTGAGAATCAACACAAAATTGATTAACCCACTTTTAACAAAATATATGTGTATATATGCAAATTAGAAAACCTAATTATGAAACATTTGAAATATAAATATATGTGTACAACATATATAAGTGTTGTCACAATTAGTCTGAATGTATTAACATAAGACAACAAATATCATTATAATAAATTCTCTAGTGAATTTTGAATTTAAGCAAATTAAAACACTCAACCGGGCATATGAAACCTTATGCAAAGAAAAAAAATCTTGGAAATAACATTTTAGACTTTAAAAGTACACTAAAAGTGTGCTAAAAGGTATGTATGGTGAATATTTTGACCAAATCTAGGCGAAAACCCTAGAATTGGCGGCCATTGTGGATTTATGGAAATTAGATAATGTAAGGTACGGGCTGTACCCCTACATAACCCTATAACAGCTCTTGTGTTTGTACGAATACTTATAAGGGCCAGTTTTTCTGAACTGATATTTTTGTTTTAGTGGTTTTTTAATATAAAATGACATGATATTTGTCTGGTGCATAATGAAATAACATCATCTGCTAAGGTAATAAATTGAGCATAAATTACATGTTGTATTGTGTGTGGGTGTGGGTGCGCGGGGGATTTGTTTCAGGTGTGTGATGTACCTGTAGAATATGGGTATTTTAGTTGATACAAAATGTACAGCAGATCACTTTTCCTACTCCTTTAGTGCCACAACAGCCTATACAAGTTGACAAATATGACAAAATCTATGTGAAAATCCTCGAAATAGCGGCCATATTGGATTTATGCAAATTAGGGGCACTTCCACTACTTGGATTTTTTGGACTTTTAGTATGTCATTTTGAGGACCTTACTAAAATGCATTGCAGTGAAAAATATTTTATTGCAATTTGTTTGACCTCAAAACACAATATTCCTAGCCTATGGTAAGATAACTTATGTCGCCAGGACAACATGAACTTTTTGTGAAGTCGACTTGGCAAGATAATTTATTTCGCCATGTCGACTAATAAAAGTTGATAAGTCGACATGGTAAGTTAAATATCTTTACATGTCGACATGATATGAATATTAAGTCAACTTGACAAGATGGAATATCTCGTCATGTCGTCAAGTAGAATGGCACTTTAACGCTTCCGTAGTATTCTTCTCCTTCCCACCAACACTTTCTACGTCTAACGCACCTTTTCCCGATCACGTGATTGCGACCTTATCCCTCAAAAATATCGGTCAATAATTGTTCGTAAGTCTTTGCCTGTTATTCATCTGATTCAATCATCACAATGAGGACATTATTGTGATGTTATTTCTTCTTTTGTCTTTTTTCTGCATCACAGGGAAGTCAATACTGGAGGTTCCTTAACCAGAGAATGGATAGGGGTTATCCAAAATCCATATCAAACTGGCGCGGAGTGCCGAATGACATTTCTTCGGCTTTCATGTGGAGCCGTAACTTCTATTTCACCAAAGGTACGATCAAGTTTGATTCAGGGGCGTAGCCGGTGGAGGGAAAGGGGGTGAAGGGGTAGTTATGTTTTCCGGCATATTCGACGTTCTAACAGCTGCAGGTAATCCTTTAAAAAATAGTTGGCTTGGAGAAAATGTAAAACATTTGTCTACAAATCTGGAGATCTTCCCTGTCGGCAAAATTTGAAAATCTGAGCCGTTTGTTGTTATTGTTGTTTTGGCTTGTTAAATCTTTTAGCTAGTTGGTTATTCGATCTGGCACCTCCCCCTTGCCCTTCCATTCAACATTATCTATATGGTTCGTTACGTTGCTGTGGCTGATCTGATTTGAAAGATATAAAGAAAAATGACTACATCGGGTTCCTTGTAACTTTAATGTTTGAATTCAATTAACCTAAATAATCATGACGATTGTTGAGGTTATCACTGCATTATTCTCTCTTTTGATAAAATATCATCTACAAATGTGTTTACGACATTTCGTATTTGTTATTTATATATTTTATATATTTATTTATTTGTACTTTGCTCTCTGTATCCCATAGGAGACCAGTATTACCTCTACAACATTGATTTACAAGTCAGCCGCAAGCCTCAGCCGCTAAGCCACTGGAACGGGTTCCCTAGCGACTCCGTAGATGCGGCGTTCCAGTGGGCCAACGACCGCATTTACTTCTTCAAAGGCTCTGAGTATTACCGCTTTAACGACAACACCACGGCTGTTGATGAGGGCTATCCCATCAACACGGCTATCGGGTGGCTGAGATGCGATTCCAACCAGCTGGTCATCGGCCCGACATCGTCGCCGACAACATCGCCCGCTGCCGGAGGTGACGCGATCGTGAAGACACCATCTATGGTTGCCGTTCTCTTCTCGACGATTGCTGCCCTCTTCTATTCATTTCAATAGAATGACATTATCGCTTTCTTATACGACGTACATTATAGATATTACTACCATGTCTTTCAATATCCTGTACCCATAAATATTAGACTACTATCTCTTTAAATATTATCATTGAAGATTCATCACGATTTGTTTCATTTATTCTCACTCGTTATAAATCTACGCCTACATGTAAAAGTAGGATTAACATTTTTAGGAGTAAGTTTTATTGTCGATATAATTTAACTGTTGGAGGATTTATCAGATCGAATCTATTTGTAGGCTTACTAGATAACGGATATTTGACGATAAGCTTTTCGAGAAATAGCGCGATTTCTTTTTCCATCATGATGACATATAGTACTTGAAACGTCGATATCGACGACTATTCAGTAATAATCAAATCTAGAAGTGACGATGGAGGCAGTGAGAGGCCTAGGTGTGATAAAGCTTATTTTATGTTTCCAATTTCCAGACTTTACAGATACAAAACCAATATAGGTTTTAGTGGAGGTGTCGTGATGTAGTTGTTGATTCACTTGGTGGAGTGTGGTAAACGGGGATCAATGTTTGGCCAAGATACCTTGGTACCAGGCTGGGATTCGAACTCTCAACCCCCAGCCTGGTACCAAGGTATCTTGGTAAAACATTAATCCACATTTGGCATACTCCACCACGGTGTAAATGAGTACCTGGCAATACTTTGGTAGTGATAATGTAAGGGCTGGCAGGGAGAGCAGTGTAAGAAAATGGAGAGGCTACCATGGGTAAATAATAGAGACAATTAATATTTTTAATATCTTTTTTGTTATTTCATCACAATGAATGCATATATATATATATTAGAGTACGAATGTGAGTGGTGAGGCAGAGATGGCACTTGGTCTGAAGATTATGTCAATTATTATAAAAAAAACTTTATTTGATATCGGCTGGTGACTTGTAAAACTATTTGAATATCTTTAGGCCAATGAAACGTATTTTTATTTATAGGGCCTACCTAATCCAGCGGGGATGATTGTGTTTCTAACCTACTTGTACGGGAGCTGTAAGTCAATAACCATGCACAATAAAATATTTTATATAAATACTTCGACTTTTGTTTTGAATATCATTTGACCATGAATCTCTATTAGATAATTGTCTGTTTGATAAAGAGTATTAATGATTAATAACTCTATATATTTACCTATATATATATATATATATATATATATATATATATATATATATATATATATTACATCTACCTAAACCAACAATTTTCACGTTAAGTCAATAGATTAAATTTGAGTTTTCCTTTATCCTTCTTTTTTTTGCGAGTTCTAGATGGTGTTGACATTTTACTCTGGTGTTTCATGTCTAGTCTGATATTAACACCACTCCTAAAAAAAAAAAAAGAAGAAGAATAGGAACACCCACACCCAAGCACACACACACCCTCACATAGAATTAATAATAATAATGATAATTTGTTTACCTAGGGATGCCTCGACAATTCCTGTTCTTTCCGAGGACCCTGCACTCATTATTACCGGAGAAATGGTCAAGTATCCATCTACACCTGGGTAGAGAGTGGCAAATATGGATGAAAGTCTTCGCAAACGACGTTAACGCCGGGCTGGGTTTCAAACCCTCAAACCTTAAATTAAGAGTCAAGTGAATGAACCACTATACCCCGAGTCCTCCGAATACCACCATTATAAAGCGTTTTAGACCAAATTATTAATTTTTGTTCCATTTTTATTCCAGTAAGCATAAACCCTACAATATCATCAAGCGCGTGCAGAAGGAGGTGGTTTTGGGGTCGAACTCTCCCTCAATTTTTTTTGGTGTGTGTATTTTGGAGGAACCCTCCCCCCCCCCCCCAAATTTTTTTTTTAATCACACAAAAAATAGTGGTAATAGGTGACCCAAAAGAGATGACCTTAACCCCCCCCCCCCCCCCCTAACGAAACGAAATATCGATCGGCAAAATTTTCGGGACCAAAAAAATATGCTCTTTCTTCTACCCCCTCCCCTTCGAAAAAATCCTTCGTACGCGCCTGAATATTACAATAATATACTCATATTCTGTAACAAGAAAATGGATTTTAATTTTAAGTGAAACTCAAATTCAAAGCATTTTTATAAATTACATAATTTTGTATTAAATGCATATACCTACTAGCAATGGTTTTCAACTCCCCCTTCCCCCCCCCCCTAAAAAAAGGGGGAAAAAGAAATTTCTTTAAATATAATTTGTTTTATTTTATTATATACAGACACGGGCTATAATTAATGTAACCTTACAGTCTGTCTAAAGAGAAGGTGAATAACATTTTTTTTTAGATTTGTCATTCTTTTTACTTTAGTGTGGAAAAGTATAAAATTAAAATTATCCCCAGAGTGGGATGGCACTTAAAAGGCCCTCATAATTCGAAATACTTTTATGACAAGTAGCAGGAAACGCAATAGTTCAGTGGTTGAGCAGTAGTCTTGTAACAGGGGGTCCCGGGTTCGAAGCAAAATCAGTGCGCTAGTGCACTTTGGTAAAGCATTAATCCTCATTACCAAGTCCTTTGGAGAGGATTTAAAGCCTTCAGTCCCCTAGTTCATTTCTCAGCAGTCAGGTAAAACAAACAAACCAACTAAAGCTAAAGCAGAGAGGCGAAAGAAAGGAGTAAAATCAAGCCGCTTTCCTTTGACCCCATGCTCCAAGCCGCCGAAGTTATGCGCTAATCTGCAACTGTTGACCAGGTGGTAAGATAAAAGAGCGCATGAAATTTCAGGATTTATAATTCCTACATCAGAAAATGGTATCCCAGCAACTGTTCGCTGTTCCTTTCAATGATTTCTCATGGATTCTTGAATGTGTAATGAGCAGGGGCGTCGCTAGACCTTTTTCAGTAGGGGGGGGGGGTGTAGAGGCCAACGATTACCGACAAAAGTAGCCACCAATTACCGACAAAATTAAATTTCCAATATCTACAAAGTCAAACAACCTATAAACCTGGGGCGAAGGCTAAATGTTTTTCTATGGACTATCTATAGCTATCAGTACTTGCATATGCGCAAAATGGTCATTTTCCACGACGACATTAATATACGAATTATTTTTAAGTGTAGTCAGCATCATACATATATATATTTAAGCAGCAGGCGCGGAGCTAGGATTTTATTTTAGGGAGGGGCGGTAGTGAGCAAGAGAATCACTTAAAAGCGTGCTCATAAGGGGGTGTGGGTGATGAGCCCCCCGCGCGAAGCGCGGAAGCTTAGACGTTTCCTTAAATTATTAGGAAAAGAAGACAATTAATTGTACCGTTTTCGACTGGTAATCCTAGGCTAAATGAAGTTTCCCCCCCCCCCCCTCCCGCGCGAAGCGCGAAAGCTTTGACGTTTCATTAAATTATTATAAAAAAAGAAGACGATTTGCTGTACCATTCTCGACTGTTTATCCTTTTCTGAATTCAGTATTTCCCCCCCCTCGGAAAGCGCGGAAGCTTTGACGTTTCATTAAATTATAAGAAAAAGCAGACGATTCGTCGTATCGTTTTCGACTCTTAATAAGCCCTATTCATCTGAATTCAGTTTCCCCCTCTCGCGCGAAGCGCGGAAGTTTTGACGTTTCATTAAATTATTAGAGAAAGAAGACGATTCGTCGTATCGTTTTCGACTCTTAATAAGCCCTATTCATCTGAATTCAGTTTCCCCCTCTCGCGCGAAGCGCGAAAGCTTTGACGTTTCCTCATATCATTAGAGAAAGAACACGATTCGTTGTACCGTTTTCGACTTTAATTAAGCCCTATTAATTTTGTCTGAATTCAGTTTCCCCCTCTCGCGCGAAGCGCGGAAGCTTTGACGTTTCCTTAAATTATTAGAGAAAGAAGACGATTCGTCGTTCCGTTCTCGACTCGTCTAAATGAAGTTTCCCCTTCCGCGCGAAGCGCGGAATTTTTGGCGTTTTATCACAATATAGAGAAAGGAAGACGATTCCTCGTACCGTTTTCGAATCTCATTAAGCCCTATTCATCTGAATTCAGTTTCCCCCTCTCGCGCGAAGCGCGGAAGTTTTGACGTTTCATTAAATTATTAGAGAAAGAAGACGATTCGTCGTATCGTTTTCGACTCTTAATAAGCCCTATTCATCTGAATTCAGTTTCCCCCTCTCGCGCGAAGCGCGAAAGCTTTGACGTTTCCTCATATCATTAGAGAAAGAACACGATTCGTTGTACCGTTTTCGACTTTAATTAAGCCCTATTAATTTTGTCTGAATTCAGTTTCCCCCTCTCGCGCGAAGCGCGGAAGCTTTGACGTTTCCTTAAATTATTAGAGAAAGAAGACGATTTGTCGTTCCGTTCTCGACTCGTCTAAATGAAGTTTCCCCTTCCGCGCGAAGCGCGGAATTTTTGGCGTTTTATCACAATATAGAGAAAGGAAGACGATTCCTCGTACCGTTTTCGAATCTCATTCAGCCCTATTCATCTGAATTCAGTTGACCCCTCTCGCGCGAAGCGCGAAAGCTTTGATGTTTCCTCAAATTATTAGAGAAAGAACACGATTCGTTGTAACGTTTTCGACTTTTAGTAAGACCTATTTGTCTGAATTCAGTTTCCCACTTTCGGGCGAAGCGCGGAAGCTTTGACGTTTCCTAAATTATTAGAGAAAGAAGACGATTCGTTGTACCGTTCTCGATTCGTCTAAATGAAGTTTCCCCTTACGCGCGAAGCGCGGAATTTTTGGCGTTTCATCACAATATAAAGAAAGGAAAATGATTCGTCGTACCGTTGTTGACTCTTAAACCTTGTTTGAATTTAGTTTCCCCGAAAATTTTAAACCTCTGATTTCTTTAGCTGATATTATAGGAAAGTGAAACTTCGAGAAAATACAAGTATTGTAGTTGTAGTCACTCTCGAAGTCGTCACAGCGGATAAGAAGTCGCAGTTCGTAAGGAAAAAAACTTGTCGGCCGACCGACAATAAACATCTCACCGACTTCAAACTTATGCATTGATGAGGATCGAGCAAGAATACCGACACAGCTGACCCGACACAGCAACATATTTACCCGTGTCTTTCTTGCTCCCTCGACGAGACGACTCCACCCAACAACCCCCTTTTCTCTTTTACTCCCACTCCTCCTCTCTCAGACTCTTACCTCCCCTCTCTCTCCTCTCTTTCATCCCCCGTTTCTTTTGTTTCCCTTTCACTCTTTTTTCTTCTTTTTTTCCTTTTCTTTCTTTTCTTTCTTTTCCTTTCTTTCCTCTCCCCCCTCTTTTTCTTTTTTCTCTTTCTTTCTTTCTTCTCTTTTCTTTCCTCTCTTTTCCTTTCTTTCCTTTCTTTTCCTTTCTTTCTTTCCTTTTCCTTTTCTTTTTTTCTTTTCTTTC